GTTGTTGACTTTATTCATTGTCACTACACACTCTTGCCTTCTGTCGGTTGTCATTATTCAGGTCTTTATCTTGGGTGCACAGTAACGAGTTTGACTGTTAAGTCCATTGTGAGGCGGTTCGTTTTTTCTTTTTTAATAATTGAACTTTTTAATTTGCGACCGCTGCAATAAATTGAAAGCTATTCAGTGTTCCCCTGATTCATCATTTGTGGATCCACGAAGGTGTCGTGCTCATCCATGTTTATGATAATGTCAAATAACTTGACTTCTGAACTTTGAGTCAGCCTACTTTGTAGGCTGCTACTTGGATAGGATGAAAACAGAAGTCAAAGAAACTAGAAAATGTCACCAAGCAATTTTCTTCATCCTTTATATTGGCGATTACAGAAAAGTGGTTTGATAGCACTATCTTATCTTTTTGAAGATAAGAACCACCTCATACTCATTAGTTTATCATATCTGAGCTATATGATAGCATGTAAGACTGGTTGCAACAGATCAAGCGTGCTATTCACGTGCACTTAGAAAACCCGTCCCCAATGTAGAAGTGATAGACTAGGGAAAGTAGCTAGTCAACACTACACACTGACAACTCTTGGACTACTCTTTACTAATGAAACGTGGGATAGACTGTCATATTATAACGCCCTCACAGCCGAAAGGACAAACAAGTTAGATGACGGGACTCGAATCCGTGATTCGTAGATTGCAAGTTGAGCTCCCTAAGCATCAGGATATCCCAATCTCATCGTGTATGCCGTGGCAACAGGCTTATGATGGTAGTGACCTTTATGTGCACCATGGCAATATGCAAATATTCCTTGGTTTTAACTGTATTTTGAAGGAACTTGCAGGGGAATATTTTCTTCTCTTTCTCAACTTGAATATGTCGTGAATACTTGTTGTGGGATGTGTTTCTACTGGTACAACTTTATAATCTTCTTGGTTGTATCTCTAAATTTGGTCATAGTTTTCAAGTGCTATTAGCAAGCAGATTAAAGGCATGAGCAAGATAGCCGTAGGTGATGAAAGAGAGATCTGTATCTTTAAATAGTTCCATTTAACCTTCAAATTACTTGCATGACCAGTGACCAAACTATGGACCTTTTCAAGTCTCATGTTGTCTATAACATCACTAAAGACGTAGTTGCACAAAAATGTTAAGGGTATCGTGCAGACGCAAATTTCACAGTGAGGTACAACTTTTTTATTTAATATCCTTAAGAAAACTGGTTCAAAAGTTGTAAACACCAAATTGATTAAAGATGTTTCCCTTCAATTTAACCAATTCTTTAAATTCAATATCTAACTTCTCCTTGATAATATTTTGTACTAATTTGGATTTTTTATCCAATATCTTTCTCTTAAGAGTTGTCTTCAGAAATATTATAAAGTATGTAAAGTAAATACACAGCTCTTCCAATTTCTTTCAGTTTTTTCTGAGGAAACATTACATCAAAGAATTTCGTCTTTCGACTGGCAGACAGCTGTCTTCAGAGTAGTTGGAGTCGTTATTGTCATGTCATATGCCTATGATGCTAAAATTGCGTTGAAAGTATGGGTAGGAAAAGAATGTTGGTCCGCTAAAATTTCCTCTACTTTCTGATCTTATTGTAAAAAAAAGGAAAAACGAATGTGCAAGTCAATTTTTTTTGGGGGGTAATAGATTCATACATTTCTTTTTTTAGCATTCAGTCAGGTATTATAATTATTACAAATAGAGCTTCACATTATAATACAATATTACATTATTATGTTATGATACTTTTATACATGAACAAAGGCAAATCATTTAATACTAATATCAACGAAAACTAATTGGAAACTGAGTTATTAGTAGCGTTTTAATTGTAGTGAAACTGGAAGCTTATGTCTAAATACCTTAGTAGAAAGTGATTAGAGAAAATGGAATGAAACTTTAATTGTCGCCATTTGCAACGTCGGAGAATTATTGCAGCTTTGGTTTAACTTTGTCCATCCATAGGTTCAGAGTATATTGTTCAATAAAACTGTATATTAATATCTTTTTTTTGATTAAACGCTAAAGACATACAAATGGAGAATTAAAGATTGCATGCTGTCCATAGGGAAAATGTATGTTCCAAATTCAACTCAAATTCACTGATAGTAAAACTATAGAAGTCTGCCATGTTTTAATTATATAAGATAGAAAATTGGCTTTCAAGCAACATACAAAGGAAACATAATACTGTAATTGATGTTTAATTAAAATTGCCCAAACATTTTTGCATAAGTTGTTTACATATTTAAAGGCTAAATATTTTCAAAATATTCATTAATTTGGTGGCACCCTTGACTATTACTCAACATTTATTTAGATTATTTCACCACCACCCCAATTTTGTTTTTCGGAGATAACAAACCGTGAACTATGGAGCCTCGAATCCACAGATTGGTAGGCTTACCACTGGCTACGCTCGGCCTACTCATCAGTTGAAACAAAGTAAATACATTACCAAATCCGAAAGATAAGAACATAGAAAATTATAAAGAAATTCGCGAACGTACTCATCTGTGGTAAAAACATATCCTCTATAATGTTTTCATGATACTACAGAGCATTCCTTTAGAACTTGGACTTTCAACTTAAATTACACTTAATGGATAAGCGGCCAGGTCAGAGAATTCGAGGGGTTAAATATAGAAGTTCTTATAATGGCTGGAGACGGCTTGAATGGGTAATGAAGAAAAAACTTTAATATAAGTTTAACATAACAGCAAATGTACAACGTTTTGACAAGGTTTTGTCATCATC